CATATAAAGTAATATTCTGATATTTTGAAGTAATCTGTTGCAGAAGCCTTTGCACATAACGCTGCAGACGAAACTAAGGTACTTTCTGACTATCTCCATCTCAATGAAAAGTTGTACCTCTAATCCGTAGTTGTTGTACTCCTTTTTCCAGCTATTGGAAAAAATGGGTTCTTTCTTCTTTAATGTTTTTTTAGATTTCTGTCATCAACGTTGCTGCTCTTTTATTTGCATCAATTACCAAAATACACTTGTTACACAGCAAATTCCTCCGAAATTCATTGCACAGGAAGCCACAACCAGCATTATTTATACGTTTTCTAGACGAGAGTCTGTTTGGCTCTCGTACGTTTCGAAAATGCATGCAGTGAAAGATCCATCCTGTTTCGAAGATGCATTTTTCTGTCGAATCTTGTTAATGAAGAATGAATTTTGGATTTATTCTTAAAATTCGGAAGGAAGTCTGCCTGAAGTGGAGTTTTATTATACTATTCTATGGTAAATTGGATACTTCTTCCTTTTCAAGAACGTTAGGTAGCATCCAAATCATGTACTAAGTCTCAGAGACTTCCGTTGAATAAGTATACATTTTAGCAACTGATGAACATTTCGAAGTCTCAAAATGGAAGGCCAGGCGAGTAACGTTTAGCCAGTTGCATAAGTTTAGATTTATCAGAAACTGCAATTATATATTTGTTAAAATATCAAAATTTTAATAAAAGTTTCAATGGGTAAGGAAGGCAAGATGGAAGGTAAAGCTATTGAAATAGCTTTGAATGCCGTTGAATAAGCTGTCCAGTGTAAAAGTAATTCTCTCCTGAATTCAGTTTCGTATTATAGTTCAGCGTCTCGTGAGTATTTAACTTATCAACAAAAGAATGAGCAGATGGCTAAATACTGGTATTTCGGACTGGAACTAAGTCGCAGACAACGGCCTGGTTACATTATGCGGTTTACCGTACATGTAACGTTTTTGTATTCAACGTTATAGTTATGCATGCGTGATGTGATTACGAGACAGTGTCCCCTTCATTACTTGAATATGAGCCATTTTGCATTTTTAAGCCTTTAACGGAGAATCCTTTGTCTGAATTAAAATTCTTCTATGTATATATTTAATAAAAGAATGGATGCTGTAGTGTAGAGTGTCACTGCAATATGGAGGCAGTCTTGTGTGGTTTGGGATGGGTGTAGGGCCTTCGGTCCGGCTCCCTGAGGTACCCTACCTCAAAACTGGGGTGGAAATGGGCATAATCCTACTGTCCTCTATTTGGTGTCCGCGGCTCTTGCCAACGACAGATGCAATCTTGTGCTCCTTACCACGATAAAATTCGTGGATTTGTTCTGCTTAGGTCATACATTTGAGATTAGTCACAACAACAACACACGAGTCCGTGTTCAAAAGCCGCTAAACAAAGTTTCTGGATTAAGATGGCTATTTTTGTGACTGCGAATATTAAACTACTTACCTATATGATGAAGCTGTATCCCTATTAACTTCTGAGATATTTTCGTGGGAGATTTCAAAGTCAGGAATTCCCGATATCGATATTGTGACTAAAGCAAAACTGAGCAAAACAAATAAAATATGCAAAAAATGAAAGAACGATTCGGAGTAAGATTCGTGTAAAGTATCTAGGACAATTATTTCAACAATCCATTGAAATCTTTCCAGCTAAATCAAGTTTACGGCTAAATCTTTCGAGGAGGGGGAAATTGTTCTACTGGGGAAGACAACAAGAAACATGCAGTCTGGAGTCTAGCACGTGCGTTGAAACTGATACCAGGATGGACAAATCAGATTTGATCTCATAAAAACAGATACTTACAAATTTTTGATGCCATCACAAAGATTATACAAACTTGAGCTGTATAATCCAGTCCGAAAGGACATAACAGAAGCTGTTCCTCCAACCAATAATGCATCTGTGAAATACTGTGTACCTGTTGGAATATTTTATTGTGATTTGTGTCTTTTAGATTTAGCATCATCTTATAACATGTTATCCTGTCCCTATGAGAACGGTAAGTACAAAATACTGCTTTCTCAGGTTTTTTGTACTTTAAATTTTCTTATGAGAATCTAGTAAGCGTGAATGTGTATTTCATTTTATATCTTCTAATGTTTGTTTGAAATATTACACATTGTACTATTGTGCATTGCATGTAATAGATGTACACTGCTCGACATTGAAAATGCAACACCAAGAAGGAGTGGTCAGAAATGTATGCAAATTTAGAGTAGACGCACGTCACTGAGTTATGCGAATGATGTGAAATGCGCAGCTCTCCGACGCACGTGAAGTAAGATATGAGGAAGGAACGTGCAGAATGGGCAATATTCGTGTCGTTATTTCTGCCAGACGAATTATCGAAGAAAGTTGGTTTTTGTCCCGGAAGATACGTGTAATAGGAGAGAATGCCAGGCAGCCCTCAAGGAAGGCACTTCCAGCAGATAGCCGATTTTACGAATCGGACTGAGAAGGACGGATTGGTCCTTTCGTCAAATCGCAGCTGATACCCACATGGATACGAGCACGGTGCATCGGCTATGGCGAACATGATTGGAACAAGGAAACGTCGGAAGAAGGAGCGGTGCAGGTGCAGCCAGAGTGACGTCAGCATGCATGGATCGACACATCCGAGACAAGCTGTGGCGGTCACTTGTACTGCGATTCTGCAGCATGTGCAAGATACCTTGGATATTCCCGGACCTGGATATATCGACCAGAACCATTTCCCATCGATTGGTTGAACGTAGCCTGCACTCAGGGTGTCCGTTAAGAAGACTGCCATTGACCCGACAGCATAGACGCCAACGTTTAGAATGGTGCCGGACTGGAGCGATGTATATGACAGAATGGCGAAATATCGTATTCTCAGAGTCCCACTTCTGTTTATCAAGTGACAGTCACCACATACATGTGTGGCGTCGATGTGGAGACAGATTTAATCCGGCAGCAACTGTGAAACGCCCCATCGCACGACAACGTAGCATAATGGTTTGGGGCGCTATTTCCTACGATTCCAGGTCACCTCCAGTTCGTATTCAGGGCACTATGACGGCCCAACGATACTTGGATAATGTACTGCGGCCGGCGGCAATCCTCTACCTTCAGGGGCTGCCTAATGCAATTTTTCAGCAGTATAACGCCCGAACACACAGTGCTCGCATCTGCCAACATGCTCTGGAAGGTATACAGATGCTTCCCTGGCCACCGTATTCTCCTGACCTGTCACCAATCGAACATGAGTGGGATGTGATTGGACGCCGTTTACATACTTTGCCCCTGCCTTGTTCAGAAGACGAACTGTGGCAAATGGTTGAAAGGGAATGGAGAGCCATCCCTCAGGACACCATCCGCACTCTTATTGAGTCTATGTCTAGACGTGTTTCTTCGTGCATCGCTGTCCGCGGTGGTCCTACATAACAATAAATATAGAGGCTCGGACAAGCGGATGGGAGAATATCCCCGGAGGGCGATTTTGGTCAGTGGGACCGTCCTCGGGATACACCGGGCGCTGGGTTTCGGCGCCTCGTGCGAGACCCTCGTGTGGCCCTCAAGTTCGACTATAGATACTGGTGGACGTGGCGCTACACCAAGTAACCATATGGTAAAGGGGTGTAGCCCACGTCCTTCGTCACATGTCGCATCCTAATGAGCCGACGCCGTTCTCGCTCTGTATTCTGACTAATCATTTTGAAATAAAGATCATTTATTGCTGCTTGATGTCTCTGTCTTTTTTTCAAGTTTCATCACTTTCTGACCACTCCTACTTGGTGTTGCATTTTCAATGTCGAGCAGTCTATGAATTTACCTTCTAGCAAATTCAGGCAGTAGAAAAATGTGGAGAATAACTTGTTAATTTGTTCAAGAAATCGTAGCGCTTGCGAAGCTCATTGTGTAATTATGTCTCGTAACTAAACATGCGCTGTCTGTTCGCAACGAAACCCTGTTTTTGGAACGGATTGAGATATCAAAGGAGCTCCTTTGATATCTCAATCTATAAATAAAAAATACGCAATGCGCAATCTATAAATACGCAATGCGATCTATAAATAAAAATACATTTTTGTAAACAAAATTCTTTACTTGGCTAATGCGACTTGCGCAGTCCTGTGTGAATTCTTTCATTTTGACTTGGAAGGGACCACAAATTTTTCTAAAACAAATTTTTTTAATAAATGATATTTTTATTTGTTTGAAACAAACAAAAATAATTCATGCAAAATTCTTTGTTTTAAAATCAGTCAGTTCTAGAGGGCAGACTTGTTAAAATACAAGTAACTAACATCTAAGCAATTTTATGAGCCCAAAGGGCTATTAGTTTCGAAACTATTTCAGGTGCCCATATTCTAGTTATATCTTCTAGATTACACCCAAACGAGAGCTTTTTTCGAGTGTGCCCATATTCTGGTTGTTAGCCCAGAAGGGCTATTAGTTTTGAAACGGTATTTTGCGTCGGTTCACTATAAATGGCGTATAATTTTTTAAATTGTTGCCACCAAATATTATCGCCCTTTATTATATTTAAAGAAATTAAATGATGAAGAATCTGAATGAATGTATGTAAGTTTCTCGCACTGTAAAAAACCAACCGTACTTAGTACCATGAAATTTTGAATAACGTAACCAGAATATGGGCATCTGAAATTTGGAATTTGTTTTATTGTCTATTCCATATTTGATAAAACTTTAACAAATTTTTTATTAAAAAACTCAACGATTTCAAAGTGAGTTTACAAATTGACACAGTACGGAACACACTGTACAGTTTCAAAGCGACACTGTACGGAATAAAATGTTTTTATCTCCAGCGAGCGAGACTGTTTATCGGAGATTCTAAAGATATGCTTTTTTAAAATATCTTTAGCCCAAATGCTCTCGAAACATGTATATGTCTATAAATAAATAAAAAAAAACCGCTCGTTTGGGCGTAATACAAAATATCAAAACTTTTAGACTTTTATATACGTTTCTAATATTTATCATTTTTTCTAGTTGGACCGCCCATCATTTGGCTTAAATTATTCCTATATTCGTAATTATTTGATGGCTGATAACTTTTCGTACTACATTAATTCCTACTCAGACGTCATGGACAAGGGACTTGAATATTTTATAAAGGAATATAATTGTAAGCGCGGAAGACCTTATGTAGAAGAATCCGAGATTTCAGAATCTTTGAATGAAGCGCTTAATTTCGAAGTCATGCTCGCCAATGTAAGTAATAAACATTTTTCATTTTTCTTGATAAAATTTGCCTATTGTTTTCGCGCGTTTACTATTTGCAGTATAATCACTTTAGTTCATGCATGTGTTTTTACGCAAAAGATTTGATAATTAGCGAAAGAATAAAGTGCATCTAGTTAAAACTGTTGCATGCAGGTTCTGTTTGTAATGGATTTAATTGTTGTAATTACCATACTTATTTAAAAATATTGCATACATACTTTTATTACAATTGTTTTTACACTCTTGCTAAATAAAATTAATCTGCTATTACAGATTTATGAAATTCGTTATTTATTATTGAAGGCAACAATTAAAATTCAACATAAAAGGAATTTTCTATTTCAGAAGTTTCATTTGGGTTCTGCACTTTTACAAAATAAAATGCATAGATTATAAGCTAACAAAATATCAAAAAACTACACTACTGATTTAACAAAATTAAAAATAGAATATATCTATAAAAGCTTTAAAATTATACATACTCAAAATTTAATCAGGAACTGGGTTTCATTGCGGAAGCATACTGCTGCGTAGAGTTAGCTATTTCGCAACCGATAAATCGTAGGGCATTATTATGAACTTCGCCGTATAAAATAACTCTTGTTACAATATATTGTTAAGATGTGTGAGAAATCGTTTCTTTATTTTGACTAATAGTTAATTTTTAGTCAAAGCTACTTTCCTTTCACTCTCCTTTTCAACTCCGCTTTCCATGCCAAACAGTAAATTAGACAGCGCGGGTTTATTCAAATTAAGAAAGAAAAAGTGCTATTTAAGCGAAGGGTTAGCAAGCTGCAGCTTGCTTAAGGCCACGTTGTTACAGTGACTTAATAGCGCTTTGATTCTGTGGCATTGCGTTCTTCTAGCCATTAATTAGGCTTGACCCGCTGGATTCTACGAGCCAGAGCGTTTCCTGCGCGTTTAATTTACCCTGTGAGCCATTAGGCTAGTCTAATTACGTTTCATTTTAAGTTCAACATTACTTGTTTAAGTTAAGCCAAAAGTGTTGGCTCATGTAAACTCAAAGTGGGGTCGACTGTAAATTCTCTGTGATAGAGTAAAAGGGTCATTCACACCCTTCTTCTGACTTTGTCTGTATCCTAAGACCCGAGGATAATTCCTCTACTGCCTTTCTACAGCTCGTTAGTTTTATATTAGCAAAGAATACGAGACTCTATACATGTTCGGATAAAATGAATTTTTTTATATCTAAATTACACTTCTTTGTGTCGTGCATTTTCATATTATTGAAGATGCGTGCTTGTAGCAGAAAAGATTTGACTGTAAAATGAAACCAATACATATGTAGAACAGTTTTTTTTAAGTTTTATAAAATTCCAGGAATAATATGATTAGAAGTGTTAATAGTTATTAGTAAGCTATTCTTTTTTTATGTTACATTATTCGACAAATCAGTGCGCAATACTGAAAATTTCACCTGGATTTGCAGTTGGGGCAAAGTGGATGTTTCGAGCTTTTCTTGCTCCAAAAATCTTCATATCTCTACAGGGGTGTTCGAACAAAAACTGACGTACCGAAGATCTTCGCAGACTTGAATTGTTCCAATGAAGGTCATCTTAATTTGCTTTTAAGGTGTAAGAAGGATGTGAAAAATCTGTTTCCTTTCATGTTTTCTTTTGGATTAGCTATCAGAATGAAAGTGTGTTGTATAGAAAAGATAAGTTCGATTCTCAGCTGCTCTTATCCGCATAGTCTATCCGCGAATAAACAGGTTCATTTCAAACGGCATCTAGGCAAGAAAGCTGTGTTGCTATCGAAGATGACGAAAATGATTCAACTTTTCGAACGTAGGTGAAGTGAGCATTACAGGAGAAATATTGAATGAAGAAATGATAAGCAATGTACAGGGTGTCTCAAAAGGTGGTTGCCAAAATTAACACTGGTCGTTGCTGGTTTGTCACACCAAGACAAACAAGATTTACATAGAAACGTGTGTCCAAAAATGCGAACGGTGACCGTTAGAGGGTGTTAAGTTTATTATTATGTATCCTCAGATTGCCAACAGATGGAGGTAGAGTTTGTAAAAAGAAACTGTGATGTCATAATTATGTATATGTATCAGTTCGTCTTTGGTGTTCGTCAATAAACGTTCTGTGGTATAACGCTCTCTGTTTATTACTTTACATTTGAACCAGTCTGATTATTAAAGACTTACATATATTTTGTTTAGAGGGCAATGTTCGCAGTGTTATTGACGAGTAGGTAGTGTGAACATTTGAAGCAAGGACGTTGCAGGATAAAGATAAATCAGTTTACTAACTCAGTTCTTTATGGACTTTTTGTGTGACACTTTGTGGAAAGAGTGTTGCTGGATCTTATGGTTTACGTTCCAACTGCTACACGCGAAACATCTGGTTTCAGCATGATAGAGTGCATGCGCATTTTAGCACCACTGTGTGGATAGAATATATCTTGATCACTGGATTAGCAGAGACAGCTAACTCTCGCGGTAACCAGAATCGCAGTGACCAGTCGTATGCCCAACGCGATTCCCCGACTTGACTTCCCTGGATTTCTACCTGTGGGGATTCATGAAGTCCATGGTGCAAGAACCGATAGAAACATAGCACATGGATCTCGTCGCCAGGATCTTAGAAGTGACGGCACGTGTCCGTGACACACCTGCCGATTTTGAATGGGTCTATGAATGCATGCGTCGACGTTGTGAAGCGTGCATTGTGGCAAATGGAAGGAAATTTGAATATCTTCTGCAATTTAACCATGTTTTTAATAAAAGTTATATTAATTCTCTTTCCGCATCCTTTCTTTCTTCCCCTCTACACTTGCGAGCATTGTGTTCTAGGGTCGCCATTCGCATTTTCGGACGAAAGTTCCTAAATCTTTTTTGTCATGGAATGATAGACCGGCATGTTAAGTTTGGCAAAGACCTTTTGAGATACCCTGTATAGCGTTTGAAATTGTAGGCGTAGAAATAATGTTGAAGAAAGAGGACGATGAACACAATGCGAGATAAAGCCACTGGGGTAGCTTTCGAACACTGGCCAGAATTGAGAGATACGCGGAAGATGATGTCTGTGATGAGGTGCAGCCTACTCAGACGGCGTCGAAGATGAAACTAAAGTAAATGTAGATTGAAAGAGAGCTGGCTGGATGCGCTGTGTCACGTGAGAGCAGGTTGCTTCCTGACTGGACATAAAGAAAGGTAAACTGTTGATTGGCTGAAGGCAGTCACATACAAGTAACTGTATTTGTAAATTAGAATTAATTATAAAGTGAGAAATTAAATAGAAATGAAAATTTAGACGAATAATGTGACAAGTGTTTCTGTTGAGAAATATGATGTGATATGGCGATAGCAGCGCCTTAACCTGAAGTAAAAAGTTAGTTAGATGTTAAATGCTAGACGGGAATAACGCATCAAGCCATATTCTTTGATTTGTAGAATTTTCCTTACGTTGATTAATTAACTAATTAACTGTATACATTGTAAATAAATATTTAACTTAACCTTGTCGAATATAGATCAATCATAGATATGATAGGATTCATATAGAAAGATAGATTTTAGGTACGGTAGAAGAAGCCTTCGAATAAAACCCCTTTCTCGACAATTTCAACACGGTGAGATATTTAACAAACATGTATATTTGGCTTAGAAAGATTTTTCTTCTGTTCGAGCAAAAGGAAGCACGATAATTGTTGCGTGTTTAATATGGATATTTTATACCAATATTTATTAATTTTTTGAACATAATTGAAAATTATTAAGAACACGAGGACACTTCAGAAGTTATGTATTTTTGGAATGCAATTAGCCATCTCATTAAACAAACCGACTACATTGCAGATTATAGTATTATATTAAATTATTACAGAGCTATAATTGATTTGAATAATTTTATATAATGGATTAAAAAATAAGCATGTTTGAATATAATAGCATGATTAACCTCTTTGTCCCGTGATAACGTTGATTTTTTTATGTAATTATCCTTTGCATTCTATTTATTTTAAAATTTGCTTACTTTTCATTTGCATTCGATCATTTAGACCATTAATATAAAGTTATCTAGAACGGAAATAAAGGATAAAATAATATCTTTATAGGTAACGAGGATTCTTTTTTTCCTACTTGATATTTATGAAGTTATTTATTAATTATTGCTGTAATTCGTACCATTTGAAATACTGCTTCCTAAGATGTTCTACTGGGGTATTTCAAGACTTATTGATTTAAAATGTACTATGTGCTTGCTAACTGATAAGTTATTAAGAGTTATTTTTTATAGATTACTCGAAAGTATGAGACAAGTACGTATGAAAATTACACTATTCAGAAACTTATCGAGAAGTTCGAACGGGTAATGTTACCGTTTTGTAAAATCTTATATATTGTATACATATTATATATTATACATATATATGTAATGATATTTTTAAATCAATTGATTAAATTGAATTCTTATCATATTGCTTAATAATGTGTTAGCGATTCTCTACCTAAATTGCATCCCTGTTTCTAAATTTTGGCAAAATCCTTTCTTTATTATAAATTATATTAACCTATTGGCGCCCGCCAAATCGCCAAACTCATAAATCTGTCATATTACATAAAGTCCTTAAGAACACTCCTGATGAGGAGATAGCATCACCTCGTGATTCCAATTAATATCGCTGATTGTATGAGAAGCATGACGCACACATATCTATAAGTAGGGCAACGCTTGTAGAATGGATGGAAAATAAACGAATCACATTATATTCCTAAATTTGTCTCATTACTGTTGCCCCCGCTGCACAACACAAATAATGTAGGAGAAAATACATTTCATATATATATATATATATCTTATAAATTTCATTCCTTGCAGCAATGGCGCAAGAGAATTATTTAAAATTAAATTTAACTTTATTCTTTAGAAGCAATTTTGTTTGTACTTAGCAGCTTTTAGTGCTAATTGCCTAGTTTGTTTCTCTTTTATTTATTTTTATTTATTATTTATATATTATTATTATTTTCAAAATGCACTTTCGAGTTCTACAGTTTGGTTTTCTTTAGTTTATGAATTATAATTTTTACACTTATCTTTTTCTAAGTAATCTGTTTAACTACAATAGTTTTATTTAGTGAATTAAATTAGCAATAAAATTCCCAGTTTTTTATTTACATATGCTCTCAGAATTTAAATGATATTGTAGATTAGTTCGCAACAATAATAAATCATTTATTTGTTTGCATTAAATTTTATTTAAATTATTAACTTTTTGTTTTTTGCGAATAAGGAATATTTGTTAAATTATATATATATGTATGTGTGTGTAATATTGTCTGTGCCATTATTGCCATTATAAGATGGCTTAGTGAAAGTTGCAACGGATTGGTGGTAGTTCTCTGCATTATAACTTGAAGATACTTCACTGCGTAGTTAGAAAGAAAGATTACACTCGAAGAACACACATAACGGTAAATTCCACAAATAATTATATTTCTTGATAATGCACATCATCACTGTGGATGCGCTATGCACAACCCTCCCCCGCCCTCAATTTTGTACAGCTTACATCTTTAACAATGGACGAAATTAGAAAAGTAAAATATTACAATGCATGGTCGGAAACACTTTCCTGGCCCAGTAGTGACGACACAAAACACAAGAAAGAGAGGACACGAACAGAGGGAAATATATGTTTATTATGCTTAGTGGAAAGTATGGAAACCAAGAAATAAGAATAAAAAAAACAAACGATCGGCATCAAAGAAGGTGGGCCCACCAGCGGCCGAGCGGCAAAGTCGCTGAACACTGGTAGTTCGGTCCGAGGTTCGAATCCCGCGAACGGACTGGCTGCATGGGTGTTTTCGTGGTTTTCCCATGTGTAACGTGTATACGAGCCAGTTTCTCTTAGAAAGTCCTCCACGAAGGCATCCCTCCCGTTAGGCAGATAGCCCTAGTGTGCTTTGCCATAATAAAAATACAATACAATACACCAATCAAAGAAGGTGTTCGAAATTACGTTCAAAATGTATCCTCGACTTGGGATCGGCAGTGATTTTCTAGTGCATTGACCAGCAAGTTCGCCAGAGATTTCTGCTGTGCTAAGAATGAAAAACATGTTTCCGCACCCTGTTCATGGTCTTCCCTTTTTTGTGTGTGTGTGTGTGTTGTCATTACCGCGCCAGGAAATCCTTTTCGACCATTTATTGCTATGTTATTTTCCATCGTGTAGGTGTATTCTATCTCTCCTGAAAATTTGTAACGATTTGCTGAAACACCCTGTATATATAATATTATACACTGGTGTGTAAAACTTAAGCAACAGCAGAATTTTTTGCCATAACTCCACGAGAAATCAACTGAGAGACATGAAATGCAGAAATGAAGGAGAGTATTATATACGTATATACGTAAAGGCTGACGAAAGCATCGGAGTTGAAAGAGGAATACAATGCATACGGTATGGAATCAAAGAAAAACAAGCTTTATTTAACGCATAGGTATCGTGACTCATGACTGTCTATCCAAGAGGAAGAACAAAAAGCATATGTTCCTTAATATTGGATATGCCCTCTCATCACTGCAATGGTTGCTTTGCACCGTCTCCGCATACTCAGAACCAGCTGGTGCAACATTTCTTGCGGCAGGACTGCTTATTCCTCAATCAGCATCTGTTTGAGTTGTTGGGTGTTCTCCGGAGGATGTAAGCGTGCTGCAATACGTCTCCCTAAAGCATCCCACACATGTTCGATGGGATTTAAATCTGGGGAGTACGCTGGCCAATCCATTCGAGTGATATCTTCATTTTCCAGTAGCACCTCAACAGCAAGAGTCCTATGTGGCCGTGCATTGTCATCCATAAATTTAAGTCTGGGCCAATGGCACCTCGGAACAGACGCACAAGGGGAAAGAGTACCTCCTCGGAATAGCGATCTCCGGTTACAGACCCTCTGTCGAAAACGTGAAGCTCAGTTCGCCCGTTCAGCATAATGCCTTCCCAGACAAGAACTCCAGGACCACCGTTATGGTGTCTTTCCTTGATGTTACTGGGATAAAACCGTGTCCCGACCTCTCTCCAAATCAAAACGCGTTGAGAATCGCTTCTGGTACTGAACCGACTCTCATCCGTAAAGAGGATACGACTCCATTGATCAGTTGTCTAGTTTTTGTGCTCTCTGCACCACTGTAAACGGTGGCGTCGGTGGCCAACTTTCAACGGGAGGCAGCGTTCAAGACGGCGGGCGAATAGACCCCTTTGTGAAGGCTTCTGGCCGCTGTACACCGCGACACTTGTCGCCCCGTTGCTGTATAGAGTTGCTGAGCAATGGCGCTTGCTGACTGCTGTCGGCCTCTTTTCGCCTGCAGGACGATATATCGGTCATCCCCTGCAGTTGTCGTCCTCGGCGGCACCACCAACCTTTCTAACAGCTGTACCTGTGATTTGGAACGCTTTCCAAGCGCGCGAAACGACACTTTTGTTGATTCCGAAATCTGCAGCACAATGGTGACAGTACGCCCCTCCTCCAGCTTTCCGATCATTTCCACGTATGAATGTCCAGGTGATTTTCTAGCCATATTTCACGAACTGGCTCATGGCACTGCAGTGAATAGTTGAATGCGTCTCCGTCCTTCCTTTTTATTCTACTGTTGAGCTGCGCGCGCCGACATCACGCGTTTGTGTACGCGCACGTGCCTCTGACGTTTCGTTCCTGATATTTGCATATGCATGACGTGTCTACTGACTTACGTGTTCATTGTACTGATCTCCCTACCTCCTTTTCTGCAATTTCATGGCTATCTGCTAAATTTTTACATTGTTGCTTAAGTTTTGCACACCAGTTTAGTATAATTTTTTTTCCAATTTTAAAACTAAATTATCTCAATAGTATTTCTGCTCAGTATGCTGCTAAAAATTAATCCGTTATGACTATTGGTTAATTTTTTACATATTTATTCGAAATTTTGTAGCTGTCTCTCTCTTTCTTTCTTTCTATAATATATATATATATATATATATATATTGGAATGGGGACGTGAGTAAAATGAGAAATATTAAGACATTCATAGAAAATTAAAGTAAAACTGACAGCCTGTTTTTTTGCTACAAGATGAAATTTATTAAGGCTATGTAATTTTTCCGTAATTGAATATCCGGGTTTGTAGGATACATTAGAATGTTTTTGTGTGTGAGAAAAACATAAAGTATTTTTCTGCCTTTTTTTCAATAGGTTAAATGGCTTCATTACTTCAGCTCCATACTCGGGATTCAAGTCGATAAAAATGAGCCCTTTATTATTAATAGTCTTGAATTCCTGACAGATGTTATACATTTGATCGAGAGAACGGATAACAGGTAAAACAAAAATCTTAAGATTTTTAAGTTATAGCTAAAATATAGCTTGTCTATGAAAAATACATTCTGTTGCAATAAAATGTTACATAAGCCTGCAATGGCTGTGTTTGTTAACTTCTCGTAATTGATTTTCAAGTATATTTTAACGCTGAACACGAAAATTATCTTCATTCTTCAAATTCATTCAAATCGCAAATTTCAAAATTATTAAAAAGTCGAAAAATTGCGAAAATATGAGACTTTAAAATAGATATAAATCTCTTTTCTTATAATTTATTTATTTATTTATTGCTTGTGCTAGTATTCTTATAGCAACACAGTTGAAAGATCTGATCTTGAGAGGGGTCCATTGATACATTCAATTTTCTAATGATGCTATCAATGACACTAATTTTCCATTTTATTGCATTTTTCATTTATTTCCTTTAATTTTTTTAAATGTTTTATACTTTAGAAGTAAATTGGGCCTTTAAAGCCGTATCTCTTCCCTCTAATTGTCCTTAGAGAATCAACAAAATATTTTGGACACCCAACTGCGATAGTGGCTATTGTGTCCCAAAGCAATATTATTATACTTTCTCTGTGGTGAAAGTATTCAGATAGGAGGTAAGTAAAAGTGCACTTACCAGAACCATTAAGGATACGTCAGTTTTTTTTTTCTTCGAATTGTTCGAGGAAACTGTTTGTACAACGTAAAACATCAAGAGTTCAGAATCGGCTTTTGCTATTTAATCTGTATAGAAGTTTTGCAGAAACGTTATAACAAATATCAAAACTGGACATTTCTTAAATATTTTTAAACCAACAAGAGCATATATAACATCATAACTACTCGAGCGCGCGGTGAAAACTTACATAATCTTTTCTTTTCAGATCACTCCGTTACGTGCACGCATGCAAAAAAAACGAAATTCAAAGGTGGAAACATCACGTATCGCAACATACTACCACCTTTGAGATTCGAGCCAGGGAATCTCAAATCCTAATTCTAGGTTTAATTAACCGTCCATATCTGGGTCTTCTCTTAGGAACAGTATCTGGAAAAAAGTCATTACCAGTTCTTTGCTTAGAAGGGGTTATCTTTTGAGGTAGAACTGGCTTGTCAGAAGAAGTCACTGAACGACAATCTTCAATCTTCTTCGGTTCATTGGGAATGGAAGCCTCTTCGGCTACAGGTATAACGGGGTCAAATTTTAATCAGTCACCTTCAAGAGGTAGTATTAACTTGAGCAGTGGGCGGAGAAATTCTCCGCTTTTCATTTTTATTTTTACCACATGAACTTGTACATCTTTAGAAGAATAGAGTACGATCACCCTGGCCAGAGGCCATTCAAGTTTCTTGACGTTGTCACTAGAAACCATAACAATATAACCAATTTGGATGGGTTTCTGATTTTTAGGAGATTCCGACGATTGGCGCAAATGGCCCAAATATTCAGTAGAAATTGTTTTCGTAAATCTTGTTCCACACCTTGTCGGTAAACATGTCTTTTATTTAGAGACGACGAATCCAAAACATCAAGATCTGGGATTCCTGCTTCTTTAAGGTCATGCAAAAACATAGAAGAGGTAAGTGGAGTTAAATTCTCAACATCTTCATAAATATAGGTTAAAGGTAACTGATTAATTACACCTTCAATGTCAAAAACAAAAATGTTCCTTTCTTCTAAATTTAGTGAACTCCTTCATAGAACGGCCAACCAGCGGCCGAGCGGTAAAGTCGCTGAACACTGGTAGTTCGGTCCGAGGTTCGAATCCCATGAACGGGCTGGCTGTGTGGGCGCTTTTGTGGTTTTCCCCCTGTGTAACGTGTATACGAGCCAGTTTCCCTTAGAACGTCCTCCACGAAGGCATCCCTCCCTTTAGGCAGATAGCCCTCGAGGCTGTGCCATAATCACATACACACGCACCTTCCTAGAACTTTTCATAGAATTCCTTTTATTATACCTATCAAGCGTTCTCACCACCCGCCCCAGGATTGGGAAGATGGGGGATTAAATTTCCAAATGATCTTTTGAGAGCCACTGTACTGGGAAATGACGTCCCAATCAATTTTCTTCAGCAAATTTTCAGCTCCTGAAGAATTAGAACCATGTTTACAGTAAAAGATGGAAGGTCAACCCCTTCGAGTGATGAAATGTCTAAGAGTTTCAAAAAATGTTTTGTAGATAAAGATGTAATTAACTCCAGATGTACATCTCTATAAATGGCAACTGGCAAATATAACAATCCAAGCTTTCTGGCCATTTCTTAGGATTAGTGGGCCAGCATAATCCATTCCTGAGACTTCGAAAACTGCAGCTTCCTTGATGCGATCTTCTGGGAGAGGAGCTTCGGGGATCGGTTTAGGCAGCAAATTAAATCGTTTACATCTTACACAGGTCCTAATTACATTTCTTACTGTCTTCCTGCATTTAAGAATCCCAAAATCTTCTCTTAAGTTGCTCATCAGGATTTGAACTCATGCATGATGCAATTACATGTATCGGGTTCGGATGACGTTTTCTGTAACTGGATGACTGCAGGGTAGCATAGTCATATATCGGAAATTTCTTGTATCTTTTTTCATTAAGATTCGAGTCTTAATTTTCAAAATACCATTAGAATCAACTTAACACTGAGTCGTTTTCAAGCGTTTATCATCCGGTCCTGAAAATGATGCCTTCTGTACAACTTTCAACAACGCGATCTCTGCCGTATTTATTTCTTCTAATGTCAAGATTCTGGAAATTCGATTAGACTTTTCAACCTTACAATTGGTAAAAAATCGATACATCTATACAGTGTCTCTAAGAAGTTGGCTGTACGAAGAGAATCGGTCATAATATTTTTCATGAGATGATTCTTCATGATTAACTGCGCTAACAATGGTCTTTGTTTTTCTAAATTTATTATATCGAAATCAGGAACTACGCTAGAATTTGGCCATTCTTCTATTGGTTTTTTTCTGCCACGATGATCCTACCCACCATTAAGATTTTCGTTAGGTTTCAGCATCGCACCCACGTGGTGGAAGATCTGCTGGATTCAATAGACTTGGGATGTGATGCGAGTCTTCAGGATTTGTAATAGAAAGAATTTCTTGCACTCGGTTAAAAACTGATGGAGCCCAATTTTCGTTTCCCTTGATCCAATACAAAGCATTTGCCGAGTCAACCTAGAAAAACTTCGCCACATTTTCCATTTTTAGGTCATTAATATCACTTTGATTTTATCTAGCTCACAATTGTGAATAAGACATCGATGAATTTCTATTTCTTTCAGCTTAGAAAGTTCCTGTATCTATTTCTCAAACCTCTTTGCAATGGAAGTAGGAAGTTCAGTATACCATGACAATTTCAATTTCCGGCACTCTTGTAGGAGGAGCTTAGGTCGCGAAGTAATAAGAAATGAGAAAGGTGAAACCAAGGGGGGACAAAGATTTTATATACGGCTGACAGGATTTTTCTCTTAGTCACAGCTGTATCGTCTTCCACGTTTTCTCGTAAATCTACCGTCAAAACACCATTCTTTAAAAAACCATTAAGCATTTGAACTAGAATATTTTTTCATTTTCCGGTAAAGGATTTCAGATTCTTGATCATTATAAATGTGCTTCCACCCTCGAAGTTCAAATTTGGTAGTACTAAGAACCAGGATTCCTCAATAAATTTCTCAGGTTCTTTGGGATTTTCCACACTGGTAACACAGTTACCCACCTTAAAGGATTCCAACAGCTTGGTGGCTATTGTCTCAAAACGGTGAGGAGCATTCTGTAAATGAAATTGAATGGTTGCTCCCAGAAGATAAGGATACAAGAAAGTCTGATAACAACTCGTCTGTTAGCTTTAATCTCCGTTATTAATCTCAGGACGGCTAGGGGTAAGTTGGGCTTTCACTTTTTATTCAATCGGGATAACTCTTACATTTTATAAATGCTTTATTATTACAATAAATATATACATATATACATATCATTACGGAACATTCTTAACCTTAATCACATTCTCTCGCTTCCCGATTCTCGATTGCCATCGTGTGCCCCCTATCGTCGGCTTTTTTACAATGCCATCTATCGGCTGATAACATTTCGGTCATTCTGACCTGACAATCATCCCGATTGTTTGAGTACAAATAAATTTTATAATTAAAACATTTTTCTACTTCAACTCTCATGCACATTACTTAACATACAAGTACATACACTAAGAATACACATTATACTAAAATTTGATATGATAATAAACTTAATCAAATATTTTCTCATATTTTTGATACATTAGCATAATAATCGAAACGTACCTTCCATCAACATCTAATTTCACACTTCTGTTAAAATATTCTTCAGCTGTCATCTCAAGCTCTTGTCGACTTCCCTTCTTTCCAAGGTCAAAAATTCCAAGTGTGTCAAGTCGCCATAAGTCTGATATTTTTGCATCGTTTACATGTAGCGACATACCGCTATTCATGCTATCTTAAGTTTCGATCGTATCAGCCATATCCATAAGTGTCCATCATTCAAGCCGTGTTTCCATCAAAACTAGACTTGAGTCTAACTGTTTAATGTTTCCGGTGTACAGTTTACCTACGATATCAGCCCCCACGATTCCATGAATCTCGTTAGAAGATAATTGATACAGCAGATCTATTTTATCATTCAAATCAGGCAGGAGAATTTTGCATTTCATAATTTCACTGGTAAATTTCCCACGCGCTATTTTCGGGATTGGGAATTTTTTTTTTCTTGATATGGCACCTCGAAATTACATCGATAGCTATCCGAAAAGTTACAAAGACGAATCAAATATATCTTATGTGTTTCCGTAGCGCCGAATAAACTATGTGTCAAAATTTCTTTACAATACATTCATATCCCATTTCCATTATCAAGAAATTTGATAAGTAAGATTTACTGCTGCCTGAGCCAATTGGTACCCATATGCATTTCGTTTCATTCTTATTAGTAAGATGAACAGTAAGTGTTTGAAAGAATAATTTTACGAGCAGCTGCTTTGTTGGAT